TCGCTCGGTCACAGTATCAAGGATGCGCTTTGGTAGTCCATATTCAGAACATTGTAGTCCGGCAGGTCACGTCAGTAACATCCACTGTTGCATAATTACGTCTGATTCTCTCAGCCTGCAGTGGTTTTCTTAAGTCCTTATGAATTCTACTAAACATCTTTCCTTAACCTCTTGATGTTTTCATCGAGGTCAAGAAAAGTGGTTAGGATAGAGCATTTTTTGACTTTTCGACCGCAGCCCTTAAATGGAAGCAGGCCAGGTAGGAAGGGCTGCAATGGGAGCAGATTTTCACAGTAAGAGGACATTTAGCTGTGCTTTTATTCTCTAGACTCTAGACAGATTGCTGTGTCAATGCTCCGTTACTGACCGTTGAGAATATTTAAGGGGCTTTGTTGACGTAACGGGTAAGTAAGACAGATCTAGTTTAGAGTAATTTAACTGATCCCATAAGTGTTTTCTGATGTTCTAGCTTAAGGTATTTAATACAGTTGAACAATAGACTGATTAGTCAAGACGGTAGCTCAGGCGTCAGGCTAGTGGATATCAGTGTTCTCTGGGAATCTTACAAGGTTGAGTCCTACAAGAATGTTTACAAGAACTCACCGGCTCCACAGATTTCAGTACAACTCATGGACAGTGAGAGATTCCAATAGGACGAAGCACTGACTAGGTGAAAGGTGACCTAATAGAGAAATCTACAGGCACTAGGGGAAGACATAACAGGGACCAAAAGATGTTATCCTTCAGATTTGGTGTTGACATTTGACGTGTTCACATGTTGTATGCTGGCGCTGTGTCTCCTCAATAAACCATGCTATGTTAAATCTTTATCAATCTCCGAAAATTCTTCCCACCTGAACCTGGCTCATAATATTTCTTCAATAATTGGTGTCACGAAATCAGGGTCTAAACAAAACAACTGGTAAGTGCAAATTTATTTTTATTTTTGCCTTACCATGTTGTGTTTGACGAGATTAAATAAAAATCTTTGAAGTTTCTAGGGCTGTCCCCGACTAAGGATTTACATAGTCGAATCAGAATCGGCAAGTCCAGCCTCGACTGATTGTCAAATCATGTGTGTTTTGTGTGCAGCGATTGCGAGGGGAGGGGGGGCAGGTGCAGTCTCTATTCATTCAACTTAAACTGTAAATTTCCAGCTAAACTAAGGCGCTCTCTCTCCCGCCTGTCCTTCACCAGTCTTGAGCAGAGTTTTACGTGCATTACTGCTGCCGACAACGGCGTGCCCGTTTCGGTTCCTCACGGGTCTATTTCAAGTAGCCAGCTATTTAAAAGCGATAAATAAAATATTCTTTATGTGGTTCATCAACAGTCATAAATTTTCAGAAAGTCCTGCGAGGTGTGAACAACTCGGTACAACAGCGATGAAGCCGGGGCTCCGTCTCTTCAGCAAGTGTTCCTCTGCTGCCACTACACACAGACACGCTACACTTACACGCACTGACGCCCCAGGGTTAGGGTTACAATTTTGGATTTATTGACACACTTCAAAAATATTTATTGAAAATTTTATTCTTTTTAGATGTTTATTTACAGCATTAAACAATGGAATGTATATGTAACAGGCTGTATATTAAGTTATTGGGAGAAAACTGGTAGTTCTATATAAAATCAGACGTTGAGCACCCCAATATCACCAAAATGGCATGATCCTCGTTTTGCTGCAACGCTTTGACTGTGAGATTGACAGTCGAATCAGGCTCCGCCCATCGAAGCATCGAATATTCGACTATTTGGGGTCAGCCCTAGTAGTTTCTATAATTCAGCTGTGAACATCTAAGGTTAAATGAGGATTCAGGTCTGAGGACAGTTTCCTGGTTGATCTCTGTGCAAGCAGGGCTCGGGACAAATGTGTCATATAATGAATGTTCAAATATAAAACTAAATTAAGTAATCCAGTGAGCACAACAGGTCTAAACTCTATGAATTTAATCTATAAAATCCCTGTATGAAGGGAAGTGGTTGGTCAGTCGGTTTGAGACTTCCAAGACTGTGTGGTGTTAAACCAATGCAGCCCACCGAAAGGGTGGTTGTTTCTGGGACAGCTTCGGGCTGTACCCAACACAGACGCAAACCGCACCGTGAGATTAACTCTTTGGGAAGATGTTCTGTGGTAAGCATGGTATGAGGGGCTCATTTCGGTTAATTGAGACTCTGGTTGCTTCTGGCTTCAGAGACATTAATTTAAAAAGCTGGAATAGTCATCGCAGGACCTGTGGTCCTTTTGGTATTCCCACTGTAGCACTGGCTTTCACCTACCTAATGGGCCTTTTAAGGTTTTTCAGAAGATGTTCGTGGAGCTGGAGGATGGGAACCAAAAAATGTTCCCCAGAGTCTACGATCTCAAGGTCATCTTACTGGCCTAAATTCAGACATTGTTGAAGGTGAAATACAAAACACACAACACTTGTATTGAAACTTTTTAAATATTTTTCCACATCTTTCTTGCATTAGTTATTTTTATAAACATTTACTCATCTTAATAAGCCACTGTTCCCACTTTAGTTTAGGTAGCTGCAGAGGTGCATTGTTAATGGTTAATAAGTGCATAATAAAAGATTTATTAATTGACATAAGACATTATTCCCACTTTAGTTTAGGTAGCTGCAAAGGTGCATTGTTAATGGTTAATAAGTGCATAAATAAAGGCAGTAATATAAACTTCTTACAGTGATTACTGTCAGTAAACATCCTATTAACAATTATAAGTGGTCTATAAACTGTTAACAAGTTTCTAATAAGTGCTCATAAATATCTTACAAGCAATAATAAATATGTTTTAGGACATTACTAACACTCATTAAGTCTCATTAATGTTAATAAACATCTTATTAAGGTTCATGAGGTATATAACATGTTAACAAGTTAATTGTCTTATAAGCAATAATAAATGTGTTAATTATGCTTTAACATTTATATTGACTTATTTATGTTTATAAGAATCCTATAGGGTCTTATTAAATGTTAATTACTGCCTATTACAAGCACCTTAAAATAAAGTGTTACCGCCCTAGGAATGAGAACGGGTTGGAAAAGCAACAGTGGACACGAGCGCTAAGCAGCCAGCAGTAGAGCAGCTGGTGAACACCGTACAATAGAGGTTTAAGGAATAATCATTCTTAGTTAGATCATAACCATCATTTTTATTAGTAAATAAAATATAATCATCTCCCATAATATCAAGGAAAAAAATAAGTAGTTTAAAAAATAATTTTGAGACTTTCCACCGCCTGCTACACACTAACTCTGTGTCAGAGCATGCTTCCCCAACTTGACATAACCAAAACATAAGAAAACATACAGTCTAAGTAGAAACACAGTCATTTTCACTCATTGGAAACACGACAAAACTTTTGGTTCAAAGATTACAATAAGTAACATCATAGAGATTCATCATACAGATTCTTGCTTTTGCTTCATCTTAAGTTCAGCACTCTGGAAATACATCAGGGAGGAGGATCAGGACTGAACTGGCTTCAGCTCCCTTTCTTCGCACCGTGTCGATCACGTCTCAGGCTTTTTCTGCTTTGACTTTTGTTCTGACTGACTCATTATTTAATGACATTCATTATCATTTATAACGTTAAGCTCGAGAAGTTTATCCAGAAGCTGGTTCAGAACAGGTTCAGAAACTCTGTTCAGAAGCTGTGTCCAAACTTAGAGCAGCCTGTGCTCTGCTGGGATCCTGTCCTCTGCTGGGACATTCCTCTATGGAGTTTCCGGTATTGAATCTAGAAGATAACCATAGAAAAGACTGGTTTCATAACCATCATGTTTAAACACAGATCTCTTAGAAATTACATTTCAAGTTCAACTCAAAAAATCATGGTTTCATTATAGTGCCCCAATCCTTGTAGTAATCTGTTGATATATTGTTAGTTCTCTGTTTACATACAGCTTAATACCTTACAGCCAATCACATCTTGCAGAAAGCATGCTCCCTCAAACTCTGCTACATTTTTGTTTTGTTTGTTTGGGGTTTGCCTTTATTACTGAAGCACGGATTACCTATGTCAGAAAAAAACTCACTAACACCAGAAAAGGCACCGAGAACTGAGCTAAGCTAACCCAGCTTGGACATGAGGTTACCCCTACCAAGCCTGCTCCTGGCTAATGACCGGTCACAGGAGATAAAATGGACAAAGTAAGACTCAGGCTAAACCGGAAAACAGAGTCTGCGGTCAAAAAGTATTTTTGCTTAGGAAGGTTCTAACTAAGTGAAGTGACCCGGAAGTATTTCAATGGCAGCCGTGATAAGGGCTGGTTGAGTTCTCTAAAAGCTGAGGAAAGGTGCCTCAGTGCTTCCTTTCTTTTCTCCTTTAGCATAGGGTACACCGGATCATCCTTCACGAAAGTAGAGAATGCTGTCCCACAATGCTTTGCGGCGGCAACATTTAAAGCGAAGCATGTACTCAAACTCAAACGATAAAATACATTGACCACATTTAACAAAATCCTTGCAAACAGACGCACATTATGATACATGAATAAGACACAATTTTCTTCTTTCTTTTGGTTTTGCTGTAATCTGATACTGTTTCAATACCATTTTCTGTTTGTGATTGTTGAAATATGCTATAAAGTGTTGCATTAGAAATTTCTACAATAAAAAAAGAAATCAGCGACCACAACGGATAAAGGACATCCGTCACTATGTAATTCACTATGTCACTATGTGGATTTATATGCACTTTAAAAAGCTTTATTAAAAGCTTCGTTTCACATTTTTATTTACAGTATTATATGTTAATATTTATTGTAATAGGCTGTATATTAACTTATTGGGAGAAAACTGGTAGTTCTGTCAGTTCTATCAGACGTTGAACACCCCCATATCTTCAAAATGGTGTGATTCTTGTTTCAAAACACAGCTGCGAAGCTTCGACTGTGAAATTGACGGTCGAATCAGGCTCCACCCATCGAAGCATCAAATCTTCAACTATTCGGGGTCAGCCCTTATGCTAACACTAGCTAATTAGTAGTAAACAGAGTACAGCTGAGGTGGACAAGCAGACAGACATCAGAGTTTGTCTTTCCTCTCGGTCTTGGTCGACTGACTGATGGAGCTGTCTTGGAAGCATGAACTGTGATCCATTTGTTAGGTAATCCAAGGTTGGGATTATTTTTATTTGGTTTCATTACAGACAGACTGACGGGCTCAATGTAGTGTAATGGCAGAAATAGTTTCTCTGCATAATCTGTTCTTTTATGCATTTACTTCTATTTTTACTGTTATTGTTATACCTTACGTATATATTTTTATCCTTAACATTCATGTTATTATACACATTATATTACTCTGTTTTTTTCTGTGATTTAGGTTAAAGCTGTAAGATTTTTTTGTTTTGTTTTCCTTTGATGCTGTTCCTCTCCTTTTCTTGAATATTCATGATCAGGATCTATGTTCCACATCGAAACCTGGCCTGTCTAAATGATTATGCATCCCTTTGCCCTGGGCCTGACACCCAACGCTGACCTAGGTGTCAGGTTTCTGGACCAGCTCATTTTCTGTTGTAGTACTTATAGATTCTTAAAAGACAACAGTTTGTTGTAACTCAATTATTTGCTATCCCTCAGGTATGAAATATACTATTTCCATGACAACTAGAAAGTGTTGCATGTGGCTTGAATGACCCACAACATGACTTAGGTTAACTTAGGTAAGCATAGTGTCTTCTTTGAACCGATATCCAATAGAATCTTCACACATGTACTTGCTACTTCATTGCCGGCACTTTGTATGCTGTTACCATTCTCCCTGGCCAGGTTACAAAGAACAACGCTGTGTAAGTCCTCTTGAGTGTTCTGAACCTTTCTTCTAAATAAGAGACAATGACCTGCTCCGAGAATATCACAACACACAGAGAGACAGAGCTATCCATAGAACCATGTTGCTAGCATCGCTTGAAACTTCTCTTGTTTGCAAAAACATCAGAATCAGCTTTATTGCCAGGTATGTGTACACATACGAGGAATTTGACTCAGGATTGTACATTGCTCACGATGTGCTTACTCATACAAAAATACAAAATTACAATAATAAAAATAAAATAAAATCAGACACAGACTTCAGTGTAGACAACACAAATATGCACAAAAACAATATAGACATATTGACAAATAGTACAGTGACCAGAGTGCAAAGGATGCAGGAGTATGTACATGTTGGAGGTGGATGTGATATATAGGTAAATATACATGCATATATGTGCACAGTACTATGAAGCATAGTGCAAAGGATGCTGGAATAAATAAGTATAAGGTGAAGAAGTCAAGGAAGTGAACGCTGGCACATCTGGTCGCTGCTGCTTTCTCCGTAAAATTTGTGTTTTATCTCTTTCTTTCTGCCTCCCCTGCTGCTTACATTCGTAATCTCAGCAGGGAGATACATATGGTAACGTACTCAGCAACTCGACAACTAACTTTGAAGGATTAACCTGCCTGTTGATTCGTTAAAGTCTACTTTCTTGGCTGCTGTGGTTCGCGGCCTCACCGGTCATTAACCTAACTGCTGATGTTCCCGGCTGCTGCCGTTTGAAAATCCACAATGGTGATCAACAGATCATTCCTATGGACTGTCTTTGTCTGGATCATTCTCTCATTTTTACTTGATCCTGTTTCATCAATTCTCCGTTACTCAGTGGATGAACTTCTCCAGCTACGACTCCACACATCCGACCCACCCTTGGTCTTACACCTGCATCCGGATCTGGTTCGTCATCAACGGCATAAATATGTACACCGTGGATCCGGATGGCGATTCAACATCGGTGACTCAAAACCAATAAAATCTTTCTGGTCATCATCACCTCGTCCGCCAAGAAAACACCACCCTGCTGTTGATCGTGGTGTGCTAGCTGACTTAGCCAGGTCAGCTAGGGCTACAGCCCTGTCTCTGTCGGGTGAACAAGGGTCTCCTGATCTACGATCTTTTGCAGGAAAACAAATTTGACTTCTTGTGCCTGACTGAAACTTGGCAGTGGCAGAATGATTACATACAACTAAACGAGGCTGTACCACCCACATTTGTTTACACCTGTCAATCACGTGTGTCAAGTCGAGGAGGCGGGTTGCAATGCTTTACAATGACAAATGGAAAGTGTCCCCTGTCAGCATCCCTGCCTCCAATTAATTTGAATCCATAGTCCTGCAAATCAATGGGCCAGTCCCTACCATATTAGCCACTATCTATCGCCCTCCCAAGTCTTGCAATACTTGTTTTACATTTACTCATTTTGCAGACGCTTTTATCCAAAGCGACTTACATTTGAGGAACAACATACAAGCATCAACAGAGCATCAACTACAGATCTACAACTGACAATACATACTAGTAAGAGCTCACAGGACATATCACATCAATGGGGTAGATACCTAGGGAAGGAAGCAAGAGTTAACAAAAAGTGCAATCAAGATCATTGTAGGGGATAGAAGAAGAAGAGCACAGGAAGTGCATGTTTAGGAGTTAGAGGTGTTATAAGAGGAAGTGTTCTCAGAAGAGATGAGTTTTCAAGAGCTTCTTGAAGTTAGAGAGGGACGCCCCTGCTCTGATGGTGTGTGGTAGCTCGTTCCACCATTGTGGTGTTGTAAGGTACTCCACTGTTGAACAGGACTTTAGTTTCAGGAGAGGATATTAGGGCCACACAGTGGTCATGGTCCTGCTCACTCGTGCTTTCATAATAGGTGTTGCTAATATGACTGATCACCTCCACAAAGAATACCAGGGGACCAACGCTTTTCTGCCCCAGCAGCTTCTTTGTAAAGCCAAATGGGTTTGCAATGAAAGCATTGCACTTGCGGGACCCCTCTTCCTGTGCAACTCAGCATGCAACAGGCCCGGAGCACTGACGTTCCACCATTGTGGTGTCACAGATGAGAATAGCCGGGAGTGGGATTGCTTTGTGTGAAGGGATGGCAGAGCCAGGCGGCGTTTGTTGGAGGAGCGTAGCGGCCGAGAAGGAACGTAAGTTTGTATTATGGAGTTTAGGTAGATGGGTGCAGACCCAGTAGTCACTCTGTATGCAAGCATTAGTGACTTGAATTTGATTCTGGAGGCCACGGGGAGCCAGTGGAGGTCACTGAGTAATGGAGTGACATGAGTCCTTTTGGGCTGATCAAAAACCAGACACGCTGCTGCGTTCTGAACCATTTGTAAGGGTTTCACCGCACAAGCTGGAAGAGCTGCTAGGAAGGCATTGAAATAGTCGATGCGAGAGATAACCATGGCCTGTACCAGAAGCTGGGTGGCGTACTGAGTGAGGTAGGGCCTGATTTTCCTTACGTTGTATAGAGCAAACCGGCATGACCGAGAGACAGCAGCAACATGGTCTGAAAAGGACAGCTGGTCATCAATCATGACACCCAAGTTTCTCACCACCTTGGTTGGAGTGATGGTCCGGAGTCAATTTGTAGTTTGATGTTATGGTGGATAGATTGCTTGGCTGGAATGACCAAGAGTATCAGTTTTACTGATTTTAATTCCTTTTAACATCCATCTGCCCCATGGCTCCCAATGTCATTATTCTGGGTGATTTAATATTCATATGGACAATAGTAGCAACACTCTCACAAAGGATTTCTCCTCAGCACTGGAAAGCTTTGGACTACAACAGTATGTTGACCCGGACAGTGTCTTTTACTTATTCCGCCCCATGTTACACATCTGCTCTATGTCAGCTAAAAGTAAAAGGACGCTGCCTGGAACGTCTCTACAAAAAAAGCAAACTAGTTA